TTATTTCTGGGAGCATTCGAGAGACTTCTGACGGATAGCGTGTTCTCCCGACATGAGTTTGATCCTGGGATTTCGAAACCTTTAATAAAGAAAATGTACATTTCGATAGGGTACGAACCTGCATATCCATTATATTTGGGAAACCTCTTTCAGACCAGATAGACTACAGTTCGTGACAAGCATAAAAGACTTTACAGGAATGAAATGCTCAAATTGATTTTTTTTATAAATACTCGTCTCTCTTGTTAGGTCCTTTCGGTACCCATTTTCAATGCTAACGTTATTTTCATATCCGAAACGTAAGCAATATAATTTCAAATCTATCTATCTATCTATCTATCTATCTATCTATCTACCGCAGCTTGGTCAAATCTATCTATCTCAGTTTCTTCATATCTATCTCAGTCTCTTCATTATCTATCTATCCCTCTCTCTCTCTCTCTCTATATATATATATATATATATATATATATATATATATATATATATATATCAGTCTGTTCAAACAACTCTCTAAGGGAGAGAGAGAGGGGGGGAGAGAGAGAAAATTGCTAGAGAAAGGATTCTTACAATAGAGCGCGGGCCATTGACAGAGACAGTGATTAGCGACTAAATGCTGGCATTAGTTCTGTTATTTCATCTCTTGTTTTACGCTATTTCGCCTGAGCGACAAGAAGACGCCACTGTCAATAAGAAATGCGTCGGAAAACATAGAATCAAAGACAAAATGTGGAAGACTGAAAAAAACAAAACACAGACTATTAAGAAAAATAATAATTAGAAGGAAGTAAAGACAAAAAGAAAACTATGGAAGAAAGAAATGCGAAAAAGAAATTAATACAAAAGAAACCGTTTTACCAAAATCTGTGAAGCGAGAAAAGGTAATTGGCAAAAAAACAAAACAAAAAAAGAAAAAAAAAACGGAATAGTAAAAGAGATAAAATGAACAGATTGAAAACGGGACAGAAAAAAAGGAGAGAACAAGAATGAAGAGAAGGAAAAAATGAATGAAAGTGGCCAAAAGGAAAGAAAAGCAGGAATGAAAGAAAGAAAATAAAAAAAAAGATTTAAGAGAAAAGAAAAAACAGAAGCAATAGAAAAATAAAAAAATAGGTAAAAAGATTAGAAAAGAAGAAAAGAAGAAAAGAAAGAAAGAAAGAAAGAAAGAAAGAAAAGGTGGAATAAAAACTACACAAAGGAGGAGGTTAGAAAACAAAGGTAGGAAAAAAAGTAAAAACATTGAGAAAAGAAAACAGAAAAATAAAGGGAAAAATTTTAAAGACAAAAAAGTACAATGTAAAGAAAAGGACGAAAGGAATTAATTTTTTTCTTTATTCTCGGCTTTCACGTAAAGATAGCAATTTTTTTCATTAGAATTTATTTCAGTAAAACAATAATTAATAAAAACAAAATGAAAAAAGCAAAGAAAAAAATTCTTCCACCCACTCGCAAAAAATGAAATCTAAATTATGATTAGATGATTGTTATCGTATTTCCCCATGTATAATACGCATTTTTCTCTAAAAAATAATAATCAAAATTAAAGTTGCGTATTATGCACAGCTTAAAAAAATCTTCAAAATATTGCCGTTTCATAGGTCGATTTCAGTTGCGAAATGACTACTCACTACAAACCTACGACAATTTGACACTAACATTCGGCGATTGTGACCCCATAAGTATGTGAAATACAATCATATATAGCTAACAATACTTACAAATGTAAAATAAAATAAAAATTATCATAAAACTAAATTAGAATAATATTACTCTGTTTAAACGATTTGTTTTTAATAAGATTAGGAAACGCTGGACCTAATGAAATTGGAAAGGTAAAATTTATAGGGTTTGATTTCCAAATAAGCGGTACTAATAATGCGTTAGTAGAAGCGTTTTCCTACATTTTCAGCACAATTTTAAGGGGTGCTTATTATGGATGAACGCGTATTATACATGGTGAATTACGGTATTTTTATTTTTTTTATGTTTCTTGGAAGCGTTTATTTATTTACCTACTTCCACGAAAGTAGGTTTGACACAAAGTCATGTTGAGAGTGGCACTCACGTGGGAATGCCAGAAATTGCCCAATTCCCTCTGGCATAATGAATTGACACTGATCTGCTCTTTTAACTGCGATGGTGAAGATGCCTAGGAACAAGAAGATTTTAGGTAATTTGCCGCTTCCAGGCCATTTTCTTTTTATTTACTCAGCTTAGTTTTTACAGCAATGTCACAAGTATAGCGCACCGGTAGTAATGGTAATTCAAAATATCTCTCTGACGATTACCTCTCACTGGTCTACCTCCTGACTTTTGTGAAGCCGGTGGCATTGAACTCAAATAAATAACTTAGAATATTCTAGAGAATAATGTAAACCGTTCTTCGCACTTGAAATAATTCTTGATTTTTTAAATTTCAGCCCAGATTTCAAGTGGAACTTATGTATACGATTCATCGCTAAAGAAGTTGGAAAACTGCTTGATTTCTTGTAGCACTCAAGAGACTAAACGATCCATCCTGCAATTCTCTATCTTTGGTTAGATCAGATCAATAGCTATAGGGTATAGCTGTCATAAATGAACTGGAAAATTCAATTTTCAACATTCAAAAACATTTACGCGGCCTTGTTGGTGATGAATTATTTTCAACACTTCAGCCCATTTCTCACAGACGAAACGTCGCTACTTCACGGCAATTTCCGTGACGAGCTGCATTTCTTAGTGTTACCAGTTCAGAACTTTACAGCCAAGACACGTCTTTCTATGTCACATAGTTGAATCACCCTCATTCCTTACGTATTCTTTTGGTAAGAATGAAGTTCCACTTCGAATACATCTTCACCAGAATTTACTCTCTCGCTACTTCCATGGCAAATGTTCAGATGAGCTCCATTCTTTAGTGCCATCAGTTAAGACCTTTACAGCCAAGACCCACCTTGCTACGTCCTCAGGGTTGAGTCACCCCCATTCTCTACGTATTCCTTTAGTAAGTATGGCGTTCCACTCCAATTGCATCTTCCCAAGAACAGCTACTTATTGTATCGCTACTTCCATGGAAAATGTTTAGACGAGCTCCATTCTTTACAATCAAGACCCGCCTTGTTATGTTCACGGGCTTGAGTCACCCTCATTCCCTACGTATTGCTTTGGTAAGTTCTTTGAAGAAATGTTGCATAGTGGAACAGAATCCTGAAAGGATTCTACCCCAATCTCTATAATCTTAACTTTTTCAAGTCTAGTGGTCAACCGTTATCTATCCTATATATTCTCATAATCTGAATTTCTTCCCCTCCCCCTTTACAACCTTACAAAAATCTTAACAGGGGGCACTTCGACGTAGTGTAAGGGTAAGAAAGCTTTTCTCGCGGGATTAGTTATGACTGCGAATTCTATGGTTAATGGGCGCCTCATACTTTCGGCCTTGTGCCACATCCAATTTTTACTCAGTAAATCACTACGACAACTTAAATAAGTGAACCTCTCTCTTGTACGGCTGTTGTGCTTTGTACTAATTGAATATTTATTAAAAATATCAAACACTGAGCCGCCCACTAAGTTTTCAAATGGCTTTGAAATCGGAGGAGAATACTACAAACCGATTTAAAATAATTCTTGATTTTCAAATTTTTTATTTTCGTTTTAAATTTTCGTTGAGATTTAATATCACGGCATTTAATATAATAATCTATTTGGACATTTTCCGTATTGTTTAATTTATAAGCAAAAAAAAAAAAGACTATTTGCGTAAGGAGTTGATTCTTCTTCTGCTTGGATTCTGTAAGGTATCTTTCGCTATTCCAGTGAACTTTTGGATTACAGTAATTAATTCGTAGTCGGCTTTATCTAAGAGTTTCATTTCTTTTCTGATGGCTTATTTCATGATGATGGCTTTGAAGTAGACCAATTCTTGCTTCGAAGAGCCGATTGCATTGACTGCATAGTAAGGTTGGCGGAGGACGAGGTCGATTTTGTTGAGCTTTTCTCTCTTGTCGTTTGACGTCTTCCTTTTCTCTTCTGTTGGCATTGAATTTTTTGGTTCTGAATGTGATGGAACATCGTCTGTTGGCATCGTCTTGTGCCCGTGATGCAAGCGATTTAAGCTCAAACCTCTCATTAATTAATAATACTAAAATAAGGACTTCTTGATATAGTGTATCTGTTAATATACTAGACTCACAAACAATCACTACTATAGTGAGTTCAATCTGCATTAGGTACCCCATGGGGCATCTCGATATGGTGTAATGGTTAGTGGGTATTAGGCGAAGACCCCTGGCATATAAGATGCGGTAATCTTATATAATTAATCAAACAAAAACAAGTACTTATAGTCTGAAGGAAAATAGTAGAACTATACTTATCGGCTCCTCCTGACGTTACAGGTCTATGCTTTGCAACCTTTTTTATCTCGTGAGGAATTTGAATTTTTTTCTCCAACATCTGCTTTGATGTCTTTCTAAGATTAAACTTTGTAGAACTATCATATTGACTTGACTGTACGCACATGCATGTCAGCGAAGATGGAGTGTGTTCATACATTCCAAAAATGAGTGTATTTTCAAAAAATCGGCCACTGACTCCGGCATTATCTAAGAAGAAGCAAATGAAGCTATTGTTGTTTCAGACATCCATTTCTCCCCAGAGTTTTAGCAAGAGATGTACTTAAGTAGCGGCAGGAGGGTGGCGGACATCTACAATTCCGACGATTGGTGGGGGAGTGGCATTTTGCTTCCAAAATTATTTAAGCGTTTTGAAATGTCTAGAGTCTGAAGTGAAGGCGAAATCTTCGGAGATGTAGATTTACTGAATTTGAAACTCATCTCAGCTCTCTATATTGTTCGTCCTGATTTTTCTCGGCGAATTTCAGTTGCTGTTTCTTCATCTTCAGACACGGTCGTGATTAAAACGAACTGTAACGGATAAAGTTTTCACTTGGACATCGGGAGCCAAAATTTTGATACGGCGCTTAAAAGCGATTATTTCCAAACATGTCGAGGAAACTAAAAAAGAAATGGCACGTAGACAATGGCGAAGAAAAAACAAAAATAAAAAAAGAACATCGGCGAAAATAAATGAAACGATTTTACGAGAGAGTACATTAAATGGTTTTCTTTCCTTTCTATTTTGTTTAGGTCATCGGCGTTCTGTTTTAAGAGCCGTTGTGGATACAAAAAAGATTTGGAGGCAGGCGTAACGAAGAAAGCAAAAAGAGAAAAATGTTCTAAAAGAATGTGTTGAAATATAGAAGGAAAGATGAAATGAAAAAGAAAGATAGAAAGGAGAGGAAGACTGACGGTGTGGGTGGGGAGTAAGGTTAAAGAAGAAAGTAAAGAAAAAAATAAGAGAAAAGATGAAAAGAGGGAATAACGAAAAACACGAAGGAGAAGGATTTTTTTGAAGAAAAGACGAAGAAAAATAATGAAAGAATTATAAGAAAAAGAAAAAATGAACTTTTGAAAGGATTACAATATAGTAGTCAGCTATTCTGGATATAGAATTTATATATATACATATATATATATATATATATATATTAGAGAGAGAGAGAGAGAGAGAGAGAGAGAGAGAGAGAGAAGAAATCCAATGCAAGAAAGAAAAATAATATTAAATATGCAAAGAAAAAAAGAAGGAAACAAATGAAAAAAAGAAAGATACGAAAAGAAAAAATGGAAAGGAAGGAAAAACGTGAAAAAGGCAAAAAAATAGATGTAGTGTATTTGAAATGAAACTCTTACTGAATAATACTGTAAAGAAGAAGAAGAAGAAGAAGAAGAAGAAGAAGAAGAAGAAGAAGCAGGATGATGAAAATGAGATGGGAAATTTAATATGAAAGACGATGAAAAAGGTACGAAGAAGGAGAGAAGAAAAAAGCAAAAAAGAGAGGAAAATACAAAGAGGTTTTCTGATAAGGAGAATAGAAAGAAAATAAGAGATAAAACTATCAAAATACGAAGGAAAATATAAGAAAGAGGAGGAGGAAAAAAAGAAGAAGAAGAAGAAGAAGAAGGAGAATAGGAAGAAGATAAAGAAATTTTGAAAAGTAAGATGATGAAAAAGAAGTATAGTAAAAAAAAACAAAAACAAACAAGCGAAATAATATAAGTGAAGAAGAAGAAGAAGAAGAAGAAGAAAACGACGACGAAGAAGAAGAATTCCTAAAGTAATTATTGCATCACCGGTTTTATTGGAAAATGTCTGTAGAATAAAATGCCTGTTTGTACCTGCGCCCCAAGCTTTTACCATGAAAATTTGTATCATTTTAGCAAGTGATTATGTCGGCTAAAACATTGAATTTGTCTGACGCTAAGCATCTTCCGGTGAATTGTAAGTAAAGTATGGCGTCCAATTCATAAATGAAAGTCTTCTGTTACTGAACGTTTTGCTATAGTTTTATTTTTTGTTCGATTAACATTGATTAACATCGATCGCTGTGGAATTCCTAATTATGCGATGACTTTTCTACCAAACTGAAGTGAAATTACACGCCACAACACCTGGCGATGATTGGATAATGGATAACTGAATTATTCTGAACTGCGATGAATACTCCGAAAGTAATACATCCTCTTTATTTACACGAAAACCATTATGGTTAAAGGGAGCGAAATAAGACCGGTGAGTTTTTTAATCGAATTCACCCCAAATAAAGCAGGAAAGGCCCAAAGGAATAAGGGGTTACTAGGTGGGGAAAAAAGTAAGAACAGAAACATTACTGATGAGCGCGGGAAGAGAAAAGAGTAAGCAGGAGGAAAGCAGGTAGTAATTGACATTGCATTTCATTTCTTGGAAATTAAAGTTTGCAAGAACTTTTCAGCGACATTACACTATTTATCTCATATAGTCGCCACCATTGGCTATGCAATTTCAAGGCACTTTTTTCATGGGTTGACAGATGTACAGGGTCACGAGGGAAGTGGCTTCTCATAGCTGTCATCATTATCTGCCACATAACTGTTCTCGAACCCACTGTTTGATTTCCTTCCAAGCATCGATGAATAGCAACGGGTGGAGTGTTTCCTGCATGAAGCAGTTCAATGATCAACATTAGGTTGAGTCATAAATTTCCGTTTTTTTTCTGTCAACTTTATGCTTTTAAAATACATTTTATCAATGACTTTACATACTTGCTTGGTGTGAACTCGATTAACAAAAATTGCATTCCTTCAACTACAGATAAAATGCAGTTAGGGGTCGCTCAGATGATTAATGGAGAGGTTTAGTTTTGCAGGCGTTAAATTGATAAGCTGTCTTTTGCCCCATTTAACGACAGTTTCGAAAATGTATTGTTGGTAATTTTAATATAAATCGGTATTGTTGGTGATTTTACTATAACAATGTATTTGTATACTTTCATAGCGTTTTGTTTTGTTTGGGGGTTCACTATTTCACTGAGACTGTAACAGGTGCTACCATCCCGGGTCAGTGTGAAAACCTGGGACCCCCAGCAATTAAGAGGTGGTTCCATGCTTCTTAAAACCTCTAATCTCTCGATCAGAGGCCTTGGTGCCGGATGTAGCTTATCGTCATAGTAGGATTTGTGTTACACCATTTCTGAAAGTTTAACGTACGCAACAACACCTGAAAAAGGTCGGAGAGTTACTCGGTGCACATAGTTTTTCTTCCTGAGTGACAAATTGCTAATTTAATTTACTGAATAAATCTTAACTTTTAACCAATTTTGTGATGAAAATGACACGTCTTTATCATATTTAGGTAGATACACTCTCCGATCATCTTCAGGCGTTCTTGCGTCGTTATAATTCCAGGTAATCAAATGTACTATTCTTATTTATCTATCATTTGTTCCAAGTTTATTTCCAAATTCTTATTGACTTAACACCGGGCGAAGAATAAAGATTGATTTTTAAACACCGGCCTAAACCCAATCAATGTTTGAATTTTGACTCGAGGGTAAACCGAACTTATGTTTACTATTTTTATACTTTAGTGGATACTGAATTTATGTAGGAAACATATATATATATAACCAAAAAGGCAAGCAAGGAACAGAACGACCAACCGAACTACTCAAACTCTAACACTTCCAATTAGTTGATGCATATATTTTTATTGTATACCCCCTTTCTTCTCGGGAGGACTTTTGGGCGATGATCTTGAGACGATCATAATAAAGTTTTCTTTTCTTTTACTCGGTCGATCTTCTCCTGGTTGGGTGTCGAAATGTTTTTCGTAGCGAAATGTATTTTCTATCTTCTCTGGGCCGGTTGATCACATGTTGATTTGTTCGTAGTTAAAATGAGAACTTCAACAAAAGTGATTTTAAACTTATCTATTTTATTAACACGTCAACGTGTACCGTTTAAACTAGCCAGTGGGGTCGCTCTTATCACCCCATCTGGCGAGCAGTTTGCACACACGAAATTAACACATCTGCATTTTTCGATGTGTAGAACTTAATGCCTGAAAAACCCTTTCTAACTTTTCCACGTTCGGCTAAGCCAATCAAAATCGACATCCCAATTTTGTCTACCATCTGACCCTAAAGGTCAGCATCAGAAGGCCTGTGCCAAATACACTTCCACAAAAAAGAATTGTCTGAAACTATTATTTAACATTTTCACTATCTGATCTAAGGAATGACCAGAGGATTTCCTGTGGAGACATAAAATATTCCAGTAATTGCAAGCACTACGCTCAAAGCCGCATATCCGGTAATGGAAATGGTAATATTGTACTTTTCCTTATAAGGAAATATTTGACATTCATTGACCGAGAAGCCAGTTGAAATTTATAAAATCTTTATATTAGAACAATTTCTCAGGAAAATAAATTTTCAAGTCCAGTAGCTGTTATCGATCTTTCCAGTACTAATGGAGGGTTTCATCCTAGTCTTTTATTTGAAGTAGAGTGGAAAGTCAACATCTTGATTATGTCATTATTTTGTATTCAAGTTATATGTGCTATTCATTTTAGTTGTTGCTGGTGTTGTAAATCTTCAAGTTTCTATTATTTGGCACATGTCCGTTGTGATTCCATACCGTCAATGCACATTGTTCCAAAAATTATGTTCTTCAGCAAGATCTACAGGCTTCACTCGCTCAAAGCCATTTTTCAACATTGATCTTAAGAAAGGGTTTAGATATTTGAGAGAGAGTTTCGTGCTTGACAAAACATTCTTATAAAAATCTCGAGTGGACGAAGTTACTGAAGAACATGACTCAAGTTTCCAGGGTAATGCTTTTGTTTTGCAGCAGTTTGCCGAAAAGTGATTGTTTTTAGCTGGAAAAAACAGATGCAATGAGCAGACTTCGAATCCCGGTCGAAACTGTTTATGATCAGTTCTAATAAATTTATGAGATTCAGCAAAAAAACTCCCCTTCCTGGGACGAAGTCCTATTCCATGAGATACGTCCTCCTAAACGTCATTGAATGTTGTATTTAGCTGGAAAAAACTGATGCTATGAACAGTGTTCGAATCCCGGTCGAAACTGTTCATGATCAGTTCTAATAAATTTAAGTGATTCAGCAAAAAAATTCCCCTTCCTTGGACGAAGTCCTATTCCATGAGATAAGTCCTCCTAAACGTCATTGGATGTTGTATTTAGCTGGAAAAAACTGATGCTATGAACAGTGTTCGAATCCCGGTCGAAACTGTTCATGATCAGTTCTAATAAATTTATGAGATTCAGCAAAAAAACTCCCCTTCCTTGGACGAAGTCCTATTCCATGAGATAAGTCCTCCTAAACGTCATTGAATGTTGTATTTAGCTGGAAAAAACTGATGCTATGAACAGTGTTCGAATCCCGGTCAAAACTGTTCATGATCAGTTCTAATAAATTTGTGAGATTCAGCAAAAAAACTCCCCTTCCTTGGACGAAGTCCTATTCCATGAGATAAGTCCTCCTAAACGTCATTGAATGTTGTATTTAGCTGGAAAAAACTGATGCTATAAACAGTGTTCGAATCCCGGTCGAAACTATTCATGATCAGTTCTAATAAATTTATGAGATTCAGCAAAAAAAACTCCCCTTCCTTGGACGAAGTCCTATTCCATGAGATAAGTCCTCCTAAACGTCATTGAATGTTGTATTTAGCTGGAAAAAACTGATGCTATGAACTGTGTTCGAATCCCGGTCGAAACTGTTCATGATCAGTTCTAATAAATTTATGAGATTCAGCAAAAAAAAACTCCCTTCCTTGAACGAAGTCCTATTCCATGAGATAAGTCCTCCTAAACGTCATTGAATGTTGTATTTAGCTGGAAAAAAACTGATGCTATGAACAGTGTTCGAATCCCGGTCGAAACTGTTCATGATCAGTTCTAATTAATTTATGAGATTCAGCAAAAAACAACCCTTCCTTGGACGAAGTCCTATTCCATGAGATAAGTCCTCCTAAACGTCATTGAATGTTGTATTTAGCTGGAAAAACTGATGCTATGAACAGTGTTCGAATCCTGGTCAAAAACTGTTCATGATCAGTTCTAATAAATTTATGAGATTCAGCAAAAAAACTCCCCTTCCTTGGACGAAGTCCTATTCCATGAGATAAGTCCTCCTAAACGTCATTGAATGTTGTATTTAGCTGGAAAAACTGATGCGAATGAACAGTGTTCGAATCGGTCGGTCGAAACTGTTCATGATCAGTTCTAATAAATTTATTGAGATTCAGCAAAAAAACGTCATTGAATGTTGTATTTAGCTGGAAAAAAGCTTGGACGAAGTCCTATTCCATGAGATAAGTCCTCCTAAACGTCATTGAATGTTGTATTTAGCTGGAAAAAACTGATGCTATGAACTGTGTTCGAATCCCGGTCGGTCGAAACTGTTCAAAAAAACTCCCCTTCCTTGGACGAAGATTCCAGTCCTCCTAAACGTCATTGAAATTTGGAAAAAACTGAGATTGGAAGCAAAAAACTAATAAATTATGATTCAGCAAAAACTCCCTTCCTTGGACGAAGTCCTATTCCATGAGATAAGTCCTCCTAAACGTCATTGAATGTTGTATTTAGCTGAAAAAAACTGATGCTATGAACAGTGTTCGAATCCCGGTCAAAAACTGTTCATGATCAGTTCTAATAAATTATGAGATTCAGCAAAAACTCCCCTTCCTTGGACGAAGTCCTATTCCATGAGATAAGTCCTCCTAAACGTCATTGAATGTTGTATTTAGCTGGAAAAAAAAACTGATGCTATGAACAGTGTTCGAATCCGGTCGAAACTATTCATGATCAGTTCTAATAAATTTATGATTCAGCAAAAAACTCCCCTTCCTTGGACGA